TTCGTTTCATCTATTTTTGTAATTTTTACAGTAAAATAATGTTAAATGTAAAGTTTTTGGACAAGTCATCTTATAATTTACAGCAAAAAAAAGGTAAATTAACATTCCTATAATCGTTCGTGTGATTCACAGTAAAAAAAGAAAAATAGAAAGTCAACTGTTGCTGCTAAAATTTTACTGTAAAAATATGGTAGTGGCATTTTAAGTTTTACAGATGAAACTTAAATTTACCAAAAAATTATAAAATATACAATATATAATATATTGACAGATGGTAAAGAGAAAGACAAGATGAATGAAGACTCTTTACAAGTAGCTTTTCCACGAGCTGATGTAAATACTATAAATATATACTATATATAATTTATACTATAACTATCTATATACTATAAAATATATATTTATATATATATATTTATATATAAAAGGTGCACGGTGTCATACACATAAATACAAAACACACAACACTAAAATCATGCAATAAACATTAATTAACGTAAGATGTAACATAAAACCCCAATGTACATAATTGATAAGAAAACCATCAAATGTGTGTTTAGTATATGGATATAGATGATATACACTATAGTATTTACATCAGCTTGTGGAGAACCTTCATTCATTGTATTTCTCTCTTTCCCACCTGTTTTTAATCTGGTTTATTAACGTTATTTCAGGGTTTTTTTGTAAATTTAAGTTCAAAATGTCACTAGCATATTTTTACAGTAAATTTCAAGTGTTTCTTTAATGTAAAATAAAATTCACATTTTGTCACACCAGAAATTACATGATCGCTTTGATCAAAAACAAGCCCTTCAATCACCTTCAAGTATTGTTTTCCTTTCATCTATTTTTGTAATTATACAGTAAATTAATTTTAAATGTAAATTTTTTTGGGAGTGAAAAAAAAACAAGTCATTATATAATTTACAGCAAAAAAAAAAAAAAAAAAAAAAAAATAAACAACGTAAATTTAGATTCCCAGAATCATGTGTGATTTACAGTAAAAGTCAGCTGTGGTTGCCAGAATATTACTGTAAAAAATATGGTTTTACAGAATGAACGTAAATCTACAAAAAAATTATAAAACATAATATATTGACAACCACCTTAAAAACACGTGGTAAAAAGAAAGACAAGATTCATCACAAGTAGCTTTTCCACAAGCTGATGTAAATACTATATATATATAATATATATATACATACACACTATCTATATACTATAATATATATATAGAAGGTGCACAGTGTCATACACATTAATACAAAACGCACAACACTAAAATTATACAATAAACATTAATTAACATAAGATGTACTATATTTGAGTAATCTGGTTTATTAACATGACTTCATTCTGAAGTTCATTCTGTAAAACCTAAAATGTCACTAGGGTTTTATTACTGTAAAATTCACATTTCACATTTTGTCACACCAGAAATCCCATGATCGCTTTGAGTGAGCCAGATCAAAAACAAGTCCTTCATTGAGTCTTACCCTCGGATGCGATCCGGACGAGTCTCGGCAGGTTCGACACGGCCCTTAGACGTCTCCGGTTCTCTCCGGATGTCAAGCCTGGGTTCGGCAGAACTGAACACAAGCACCAATGAGATTGCAGAGCTATACAGCCTACACAAAGCTATTTACAGCCAAGCACTTTTATAGAAAGTCACAGTCCCATTCTTCTTCATTGTGGACGAATAGCTTAGAGATGAGCAATATCCGTTTGTGTTTCACAGAAGAAATTATTTCCCTTCATATACAAATACTGTACACCCTTAAAAATAAAGCGTTCAAAAGGTTTCTTTCAAGCAACGTTTCTTAAAGAAAAGACTTTAATAACACTATAAAGAACCTTTTCTGGATCAATGCCAATAAATTACCTTTATTTTTAAGAGTGTACTTACAAATATTTAGATATGGATTTCTGTTGTTCACATTTTTCCTTTGGATGCATGTGTTCTTGGCATACTTCACCAACATTTATGAAGTGGGCACAGAATCTTTTTTTTTGTTCTGGAAAATCTTGTCTTATCATCTGAACTCTGAAAACACAAGATATATTTCATGTGTGAAAGCTGTTAGCGATTGAGATATCGCTGGCTCCTTTCTGTGAGAGATCCAGTCTTGTGATATGGGGTAAAAACAACATTTTTGTCATGGTGTCTACAGGTTGTGTGTAGAATAAGGGCACTGTGCCCATATCCAGAATACTTACGATAAGATACTTAGAAACGATTTTAAGGCAAGACACTACAGGCGAATCATTCGGATTAAAATGAACTAAACATCACATTAAGACAATTTTCTGAAATGTTTAAATATGGACTTATTTACATTTCCAGATGTATCTGAACATTGGATAAAGCCAGGTTGAAAACTCCTGTTTGTTGTTGTTGACACATTACAGTTGAAGGTTTTTACAGAGGGGATTTTAGATATCTCTTTTTATCACTGCATAAATTGGAAATTGCTGTCAACAGACAGAAATAAATACATTTTTCATAATTTTTATAGGAATAAAATGTTATAAACAAGGTGAACGATATATGAACAAACCCCTCAGTAAAAATCTTCAGAATATCGATATGAATATAACTGTAAATATTGGTGCATATAAATGCTGCTGAAGCAGAGAAAAAACTCACCGCCTTTAAAGACATGTATTGTAATACGCAAATAGAAATACACTTAAAGTCCCCCTGTGGTGCAAATCCAGCTTTTAATGTTGTTTATGTGTCTATGTGGTGTTTTTAATACGCTTAAACCATGTGTAAGTTCATAAGTCGACAGCATTGCTGAGTATTTTCTCCTTAAAACTGCAGTGAACCAAAGACAGTCTCAAAAACACGGTTTGAAATCGCTGGTGTTTCTGACGTCACAAACGACCTTGTAACCAATCAGATCAACGTGTGATCGTCAACCAGTGGATCTCTGAGCTGAGTGAGTGAGTGGAGGCGGGGCTCATTTGCATATTCATAGAACCGCGAATTCTAAATGAGGCGAGGGTGTCGAGTTACATTCAAGATATTTTAAGACATTAAGAAAAAAACATTTAAATATGTATTTTTGCTGATGAAAGATGAGTTTTAAGGGATAAAATGATTGACTACAGGGGGACTTTGGTAGCCTGGCAAGCCAGATCTACATCAAGATGTTAGGTCTGGGAACTCACAATTGGCATACCTCAATCCGAGGGGCGGGATAAACGGTTGTCTTTCAATATTCCTCGGCACGCAATAGGATAGCGCTACAACCAACCAGAGCAACGAACGGCTGTGGCTGAGAGTCCCATGCGTTTTTCCACCAGTGAACCAGCTAGTTGGTATATTAAACTTTTGCCGTATCCGGTCATCAAAACTCTGAACACATCTTCCTTTTTTAGGAATGACTTAAGTGACGTTCTCTTAACTCCAAGTCATCCAGAGTCGCGGGCAAAGCCGATTAGAAAGACCACTGTTCGCCAGCAGCATCTTCTTTGTTTTCAAGAAGAGGGAAATCACCTATGGAAATCACGCAGAACCGTCATAACTCTGCCGTCATTATGTTAAGCCCGCCCACCAACTCTACACGATCTGATTGGCCGGACCAGTTTTTGTTTTTTCCAGCTCAAAAGTCTATGGAGAGTTGCTAGACCACACTTTGCTGCAAAATAATTTTTGCTGCCACTAGGGTGCGTCTAGATTTCTAGGCTAGGACTTTGGATGAATTTGGATATGGAAGCAAAATCGCCCAAAATTGTATGAAAAGACAATGGTTTTGCCTATAGTGTTTTGCCTCAAAGTAGATTTGACATTGGTAAAGTCCACATCCATGGTGCACATCTCTCTTGCAGGCGTCGCTCTGGTGCTCGAGTCCCTCCTGCAAGGCAAGTCTGTGGGAGTTTTTTCTGAGCAACAACGACAGTCATGATCGACTTAGAAAACACCACAAATCAAGAATGAATTTGCTTTGGCAGAAAAGCAGATATGTTTATTAAGCACTTTAATATGTCAGAAAATTCAGCTCAATATAATACAGGAAATTAAATTTCAAAATGTGAACATTTTCGATGTACACGGTCAGCTATTTACAATCAAACTTCTCTTTAAACGAACTCCAAGGCTCAGAACCAAAACAGCTGAACAAAAGGAGGAAAACAGATGGCTTGAGATTTCTGAATACTGTCCAGGGTTCATCTTCATCTTAAAAGCATCCCTGTCCCAGGCTTAGTAAAGTGCCTTTCTGTAATTCTTCAGAGGACAAGCTTTCTGATGCAAGTTACACCCAATATGGCCTTTCTCATAGCAAACAGATGTCTGAAATCCAGTCCACACCCACCCGATCCTCCCTCCCCCACAGAGACCTTTTTTGTATCCTTACTGGGTTTTAACTTTGGCTTGAGGAGTATACATTTCAAAAACCCTATCCTGAAATCACAATATTACTGCGGTTTGCTGCTTGGCATGAGTACAAAGCACAATGACCTTTCACTGACCTTATAATCAGAAGTCCCTGACATCGCCTGCACACAAACGAAACTACCCTCGTTGCATTTTCTTCAGTCGCTGAGAACTCTGCATTTAGCACCAAACTCTGTAGTTAACGATACACGTCAGTTGTTTAAATATGCAATTATGTAAATAGAGAAAAACAAACAAACAAATAAAGACAGGTCCCACAGGGACTAAATAATGAAGCATGGTAAAGCCAGAGTTACTCTTCCTTAAGGGCATCAATAATGCTACAAATATAATATAGCGTTAAAATGACGGAATAAGACGTTTGTGGTTCAGGCCTGTGAAAAAATAATACAAAATAATTAAAGCAGGCGACGCCAAAACATAGCACCATGATAATAGCAATACAGCACACATGGAAGAGGCTTTTTCTCCAAAATAAATATGTGCGAAGAGTAAACTAAGACTGGTTTCATAATTTTATGAGTGCACCGAATGGAGACTTTAAGAGACTCAGACGTGAATATGACAGAAAGTTTGTGATATTTGTCAGAGGAAACAACGTACTCCGGCGGCACATTGCTGTCAGTTGCACTTATACAGGTCAAGACAAAACAAACAGAACAATTTACATTTCTTCTTTTAAAGTAAACTCTGTTAAAACAAACAAACAAAGCATTAAAAGGCAAAAAAACTAAAAAAAAAAAAAAACTAAATACAATTTAGATTTTTTTCAAAAAAGGAAAACAAAGGAAGAAAGTGCATCCACTGCCTATTAAATATTAATGCATTAAATTAAAAGCGTCTGTGTGCATCATGGTCACCACAAGAAGGCTGGAGCATCGACAGGCACGAGTACTAATTTGCATCACCGTTGGGCGACAATCCCCTCTTTAGGTCTTTAATTTTCCTTTCTTCTTGAGATGTTCCACAGAGAAATGCGAGAAATGGTTTCAGTTCTTTTGCGGATGAAAGCGTTCACTTTGGCACAGTCTCTTTCTGAATGGCGAATAACGATTAAGACATCTGAAAAAGCATCCAAACCCGGGTCAGTATTTGAGAAGTTATTGTCATGCTTACAATAAATATATGAGTGGTTCTCAAACTTTTCAGGCCAAGTACCACCACAGTGCCTAAGTACCACCCAAGTAAGATTTTTTAGCAGCATAGACCAGGTTATTTATAATATATACAGTATATATATATATTCAATAACATTCAGCAATATTATTGATTTGACTGCACTGACATTATTGGATGAGAACTGAATTGAGCTCAAGTTCAGTTGAACCGAATGAACACTGAACCGACTTCAGCTGAACAATGACACTATTATCTTTTTAAAGCTGCTTAACAACAGAATTTAACTCTGTTTGCATCATTGATCAATTCCTGTTCATTACTGTAAAGCTGCTTTAAAACAATCTGTATTGTATAGCGTTACATAAATAAAGGTGATTTGACTTGCAGTACACAAACCATAGTTTGAGAACCACTAACATGCATAAATGAATCATTTTACTATGGTTATCTTAGAGGCCATATGATGTTTACAGAAGTTTATTTTTAAAAAAGAGAGAAAAGCTTTACACTCTACCTCATTTATAAACATCACAATGCTATAAAAACTACAGAATTACAGCTTTATGTAATAATACACTGTACATCTACATGACAATTTAATAATACTGTGAATGTAAGTTACAAATGTGCTTTAAGATACAAAATGGCCAACTGACATGCAACAACTCAATTTATAAACGTCATGTACTCACCATTTATAACGGCGTCTCTTTTTTGCAGTTCATTCCAGGGTCCGATCCTTCAATCTGGAGCTGTAAGGCTTGTTTCAGGCTTAATTCCGTCTCCCCTATCGGGTAATTGTCCAGTAGGTCCTGGTGGCCCCTGCTGGGAACGGTCCTGGGGACTGAAACTCTCCCAAGAAAAACCTGGTTTCCCTGTAGGTGGTATTTGGGGTTGGTCATAATGCCGTTCCTCTTCTTCTCCGCACAGCTCTGGGCCTGAATGTAAAACTGCTCTTGCGATTGGACAGAATCTACGGCGTTGGATCTGCCCACTATAATCTTACACTGAGGATCTTTAACTGCAATGCTGGACACTGGCTTATTCAGCACAAGGCTTTTATCAAACTGAGTCAGCTCATACTCAAGAACCTGACCTTGCGAATAAGAACTATTCTTGCTTTTCTTCTTTTCACTTGATGTTCCCTTGTTCGAGCAGTTTTGGCCGTTCTTGGATGCTTTGGTGGACTTGAGGCCTGGCTTCACTTGGCTCCAGTCAAACTCACTGGTTGGAGAGCCAGGTTGAGTGTCGATGGACCTGGTGGTTGAGGAGGGAGAAACGATGGATTGTCGACTACGACTGCGAGGCAGTGAATGCTGCTGGATCTGCTCGATGAAAGAAAGAGCATGGACGCTGTCAATGGGAACAGTTTGGGCTGTCGCAGTGGACGAGGTGGTCCTCAGCGAAGAGTTCTTTGAACTTTTGAGTGAGTTATTGGAGAGGGAGGACTTCTGCCGGTCCACTGTTGAGTCTGGAGACTCTGACGGTGAGCTGAAAGCATGAACAGGTCCGTTGGATTGTCCTCGCCCGGCATGAACATCGCCAGCTCCCGTGCTTCCAGAGCTGCTAGACTTTATAGTGAGAGACTGAACTTTCCCTGCAACTGAAACTGGGATTTGTTGCTCCATAGTGTGGACCGGAGATGGGTTACAGCCATTGAGACTTGAGGCACCATATTTATCCAAGAGTTTGATTATGGAGCTGTGACCACCTTTGGCTGCCACTCTCATGGCAGTGCGTCCAAATTGATCAGCGTGATTAGGATCCGCACCATGTTCTAGAAGAATCTGAACCGCGTCAATGTGCCCCTCCTGAGCGGCGATTCCCAGAGCTGTCGCACCCTGGTTGCATGTGTGGTCTACAACAGTGCCGTTTTCAATCAAGAGCTGAACAATTTTTATGTGACCCTGCCAAGCTGCCGACTGGAGAGCAGATCGTTTCTCGTTATCACATGAGTTTACATCTGCGTGATAGTTGATTAGCAACCTCACCATCTCTACGTGGCCTTGCCAACACGACACATGCAAAGCCGTTCTCCCTTCCATATCGCTGGCCTCAACATTGGCGCCATTTTCGAGGAAGTACTCCGCCATTGCCAGCTGATTCTCAAGTGCAAGGATGTAAAGAGTTGGGCGACCGTCCGCATCCTTAAAGTCGATATCCGCCCCGTGGCTCAACAACAACTCCACGATGTCTCTGTGTCCCTCTAGTGCTGCAACTCGGAGAGCATTTCTCCCATCATACCCTCTCTGGTCGATACATGACTTGTTCTCCACCAAGATATGTACACAATCATAATGACCCTCTTGAGAAGACAGAATCAAAGGGATACGTCCATCGTTGTCAATCTCTATGCAGCGGGCACCTTGTTCAATGAGAGCATCACATACTTGTCTGTGTCCCTCAAAAGAAGCCATGTGTAATGGCGTCCAGCCTGCGTCATCTCTGTGGTTTTCATCAAGTCCTCTGTCCAGCAGAGTTCGAACAACCTCTACGTTCCCCTGTGCAGATGCTATGCTAAGCACAGTCCTGCCTTCGCTGTCGATACTGTCCACTGCGGCACCCCAAAAAAGCAGAGTATTGACAACAGAAGCGTGTCCCATAGACGCCGCAGCAAGCAAAGGTGTTCTCCCGTTGTTATCCGTATGATCGACATCCGCTCCTCCTTCTAGAAGCAGATCAACCACATCCACATGGCCTTCGTAGGCAGCCACTAGAAGTGGAGTCATGCAGTCTTTATCGCAGTGATCCACCTCGGCTCCCCGGTCGATCAGGAGGCTCACGACCGCGCCGTGGCCCTTACTTGCCGGCACGCAAAGAGCCGCGACCGAGAGCGCAGTCCTTCCATCCACATCCTCGTGGTTCACCTCAGCACCATGATCCAACAGATGCTCAACAATTTCTCTGTGGCCCATGTATGCGGCAGCGATCAGCGCTGTTCGTCCTTCATTATCCGCCTTGTTGACTTCGGCTCCATGCTGAAGAAGGTTGAGGACTATATCTTCATGACCTCCCCAAGCGGCAGCTCTCAGGGCAGTTCTGCTGTCGGCGTCTGCGCAGTCCACTTTAGCACCCGCATACAGGAGAGCAGACACAACTTCTGAGTGCCCTCCCCAAGCTGCAGACCTAAGAGCGGTCCAGCCATCATGATCCGTGTGATTGATGTTAGCGTCACACCCGATGAGACAGTTGACCACCTTGGTGTGGCCCTGTCTCGCTGCCAGAGTAAGTGCAGTCTGTCCATGGTTGTCTACCAACTCCATGTTGGCTCTTCTAGAGATAAGAAGGTTCACAACATCTAGATTCCCGCTGTACGCAGCATTGGCTAAAAGAGTTCTCCCGTTGGAGTCGGTTTGATTAACAGAAGCGCCGTTGTCTAGTAGAGTTCGAATAGAGTCCTCGCGTTCCAAGGCCTGTTGCACAATGCATGAAGCATGGTCATCTTCGTTGCTAACGTGAGCCCCAGCTTTGACAAGTAGTTGAAGCACCTCCTGTTCTTTAGGGATAGAAGTGGACAGGGAGTCTTTAGCAGGGGTGCCATTCCACACCATCCAAAGGGCGAGATTAAAGGGCTCGATCTGCAGGTTAGAGTTGATCAGGTGGTAGGCAAACTCCTGCACCTCAAGAGGTTTAAGCTGCTTTGCTCGGCACGTGTAACTCATAGCCATCATTCTGTGTCCTTCAGCTGCATTGCAAAGGTATTTTTGTGTGCAGTGCTTAACATCCAGGAGCCATTCAGCAAAGCTGTAATGAAACAAGATTTTAGTACTGCCAAGTCCATTAATAAGCAGCTTGGAGAGAATGTCCATCTTCTTCTGAAAGTCCTCCATCGTCAAACTCATGTTTTTAGTCCAGACTGCATGATAGAGCTCCCTGACAGTCAGCGGCCTGCAAGCAGCCAGAATAACGTTCAAGATAGCCTGGACTTTAGCAAACTGCTTTCTGACAAACAGCCTCTGGCAGAGCCAAAGGTAAAGTCCATTCAGTGTTCCCGGGATGTCTCGAATTTCCCGCAGCATGATGAAGTTCTCAACCACTCCGTCAAGAACGCGCTCAAGGTACAAGAAGCAGCCGCTGCTCTTGATGTGGAGCTGGTTCAGCATCTCTGCGGTCTCCTTCGTGAGGTGCTGGCGTAGCGCCTCCTCCTGGTCGAGCCGGTGGAGGATGTATTGCTGCACATCTTTTACGATGTAGGCCTTCCGTAGGTCATCTAGGCTGATCTTTCGGAATCCTACAGAGAGGACAGAGACAACGGGCGATTAGTTTGGCTTGAAGTCTGTACATTGCTAGTTGTCACATTTGATCACGGTGAGGTTTACATATAAATGACTCAGTGAGCTGATAGCTGTAGATTGCTTTGAGTATCAGCCTGAGAACTATTACTAAAGTAATAGCAGAATTTTTGAAAACTGGGTCACAACTCTGAGCAGAGTAGACAACACTGACTTTTTATATTTGATCTGGTGATGTCAACTGACAAGCATCTTTACAAAAGATTGTGTTTTAGGTAAACAAATTAGGTTTGCTGTTGAACTTTTTGTCTTAAGTTATGTTGCACTTTTATTGCTATGCTGGTAATATTTCAAGTTTTAGTGTGTATATGTGTGGGTACGATTATGTATTTGTATTTATTTATTTATGAGTTGCTGATCTGTAATTTACTTGAGATGGTTTTAACCGGACCTCAGAACTAATTTCGTTCCAGATCATGTACCATGTTTTTGGAATGACAATAAAATCCTTGAATCCTTGAAAGGTATGTGTTAAAAAATAAAGTTTGATTACCCCTTTTGGCTCCTAGGTTGCAGAATTTATTAAAATAAACGAGATAAAAGACCTTCAGAAGCGAAGATACCTATATGTATAGTTCCCATAAGACAAATACAAATTTTAAATGATTAATCCTGTTTACAAAAGTTTCAATCCGCTTGGTTCCTAGTGTCTTCTTGAGCATCAATAAATGTTTGCACCAATTGTAAAAAGTTTGTTTGTGTCCCTCATTTGTCTTCAATGTGAAATGCTCAAATATGTAGAAAACCAATGAACATGCATGGGGATTCACAAAGCAGGGACTCACAACTATGACAAAACACACAAACAGTCATTGATCCACACCATCAAAACAAAAAAACAAAAAATATGATGTTTATGTCAATTCAGCTATTATTTTGCTTTGTGGAATATATATAAATATCTGTTATGTCAAATAGCTTCATCAGGCCAATACTAAATATAAAACAAAATGCATTTTTGAAATGGTAAGGCCATCCTTAAAAATATTTTGGTTTGCAGTAACAGCAAAAAAAAAAAAAAAAAAAAAAGGGTCGGTAGGTAGGTCTATATTTTTTTTTTTTCAACATTCAATGTAAAAAAAAAAGGATAATTTTGGTCATGGTGATTAGGTCGGTATGAATTTAAACAAATTTGCATATCGTGACGTCACTGACTGGGTCTTCAACCCCCATGCCTTCGGGCGCACCATTGCGAACCTCATTCTGATACAGGTTATAGACCACAAACAATTTGAAATCTTTGTAAAAAAAAAAAACATATTTATTGCATTAATTCCAGCTGCATTCATTTGGAAAAAAATAGGCAGAATCAAAAAAAAAAAAAAAAAAGGAGCCACTAGATTTCAATGAGATGATTTTCAGTGGATTTTCAGAGGGAAACAAATAAATTAAAATGACTAATCTCACCAGCGCCGCGCCGACCAATAAACCAGCACATATGGCACCATTCGTTTACATTTGACCCATACTGTTACAAGCCCCCTTTCTGGTCTAGGGGCAGGAAAGGAGGGTAACAAAAAGTTGCAGGGAGAGAGTGAGAGATTTGACCCATAAACATCTGCTATTATTAACGGAAATCAGTGTGGTCAAATAGCTAGGCGCATTGTAGGAAACTATAGGCCGATTAAGCAGTCCTGACATATTATGGAATGGTCGATTTTCTTTTGTGCAATTTAGTACATTTCGGTATGGGATGTGCTGTTTTATTGGTCAGCGCGGCGCTGGTGAGATTAGTTCCCGCCGCTCTGACCATTGGCTGGCGCAAGCAAACACTTCTCTCTGCGCTGTCGAGTCTGTCGCGCTCGCGCGGCTCGGTCCATTGAGCCACGCAGATTAGCCTACAAGTCAGCGCAGCGCGAGCTCTGTAACACACCGTGCCGTTTCGTCCCCCTTTCGGTGTGTTTGGCTTCCCACACTTATGTGTGTTTGTTTGTCAGAGCCTGCAGTTGCTGTGTGACGCGCGTTTGCGGTGGGCATGTCATGACGAGCTGGACGCGCTCCGAGAAAAGGCCGTTAACATCGATTCCCTATTTGAATTTCGAATAATGAGCGACTAAATGTAGGCTCATTCAGACGTATTTCACAAGCAGCCGCGCCGCAGCCATCATCACCGAGCGCGAACCATTGACAGGGAATGAAACGAAGCGAACGCACAGGCCATAGTGTGACATGCGTAAACCAATGGTGTAAACATAATCATAATAGATGACGCCACGGGTTTTTATTTAAAAGAAAGAACGTAGCCTACGCAATTTATTTTCACAATACTTACTATAATAAATGTATATTATTTTATTGCATTTGTATTAGTTGTTTGAAGAGTAAAAAAAAAAATCGGTCGGTCTTAATGCAAGTTTACAACCGGCAAGTCGGTCGGACTAAAAGGGAAAAAAATAATAATAATTGGGTCGGTCCTAAATTGACCGGGTCGGTCGGGTTACGGCAAACAAGAATATTTTTAAGGATGGCCTAAACATCTTGCAGATACAACAAGAGGAATGCAAACTTTCTTTTTACACACACACAGACACACAATCTTGCAAAATATACAAAACTAAAGTCCAGAAGTGACAGATAAAGGCACTTTTCCTGCAGAAAAGATGAGTGGAATTTGCTTTGTTTTCTCTAGAAAATAAAACAAGAAGTGTAATGATTCCTGTGGCAGAACTAGGTCACATCTGCAACTTCACAGTTTGAGGCGTTCTCGAGAGTTGCACGTAAACTGTAAAGAGATTTCGCAGAACCAAGAGTTTTACAAACAAGCACTTATGCCAACAGATGTCAACAGCTTAGGCATTCTGCTTCAGATAAGTGCAAATTCCATAGTTTTATCTGGGTCGGCATGCCTGTTTAACAACGGCCCGAAGGGCAGATCAAGAATTTTATGCAAAGTTTTTATTTACAGTTCCCATGGACTCAAGAGGTCAAAGGAAAAGGAAAAAACATGAACTCCTCTAAGGTCGTTCACATGTGTCTTCATCTTTCTGTAGCCCTACTGGTGGGAGAGCGGCAAAACATTTTTTCTATGAAGGCTAATTTAATTGGTCACTAATGCAATCTATACAAGTCTATTTTCTATGGGAAAGAGAGTAAGGCCTTCTTCCTCTCTGAAAGGAGTATGTTTACAACAAGTAAATACAATATACTTCTAGTCAAGTCACAGAAAAGTGTTTCAGACAAACCAGCAACACAAAAACAGAATACAGATTACATCTTTCCTGGCCAGTCCCTTAGTGTTTGAAAAGTTCACAAAACCCCTTTTGAATGAGATTATATAACGTCCATCTTTCTGAAAGGGCTCAGGAGTTATTTTCTTTGTCTTTGGTGCTTAAGGCCCGAGGCTGCCGTCAACAGCTGAGGTTTCCCAAATAAAACCTGTGTGAAATTTAAACCGGAGCATGAATGACAACAGAGGCACACCTGTGGACAATCATCCCGCCTTCCATGCCATCCTTTCTTCTTCTTCATACCATTGGCTTTTAATATCCAGTTATTACATAACATTTAGATCCAGTTTACCTTTCACAATAACCGGGCTAGTCAAAAGCATGCAGGTTACAACAACCCATGTTCCTGCTTTGAGCCCCGGCCCGGTTGAGGTTTGTTTCGTCATTGGTGGACTGACCCAGACCTTCACCCTGCCATTATAAACACTCAACAGCCTCCATGCCTTGAGCTTGTGCGACTCCAGATGAAGGAAATAGAAAGGCTGAAAGAGGAAGGGGCCTTGTGTGGGGACTAAAAGTGGGGCAGTGGAATAGATGACCCAAATATGTTATTTGGCCAGCGGGCCTGCATGCAACTAACCCGTCTATTTAAGTAGGTTGTTGGGTTTGGAAAACTGCCACCAGTTAAAGAGTTCACAGGGTTTAGAAAACGGATAGCAAATTACGGTCTATCTAGTAAATACTGGAGTCATTTCAAGAGTTCAGAACATATTCAAGATTTAGCCTCGTTTTGTCTTCTAAAAATGTGTTATAGCACCTCTTTCATTATGTTTTCAGCGTCCTACCGAACACATGTACTTCGACCAGAGCGGCGGGAGGTCGAGGGAAGCCCTGCTCTGTCAGATTCTTCTTATTATTATTATTATTACATGATACAATCAAAACAATAACACTATACTGTTTTATTGCTGTATTTTAATGTTACTTCGTAGACGGGCGGGAATTATATTTTTTTTCTTGTTCAAAGTCGCTAAACTAATGAATTATTAATCTCAAATTTATTTGTGCATTTTTATTAAGTTACTTATAAATTAATTAATATTAAATCAAATTGTATGTTAGGTATCAGGTGTGCAACAATACAAATGTCCCAATTCGGTTTGATACACCATACTGATCCCACGATACACTAATCTCACAATACTATGAAAGAAATTAATTAAAATAGTAAGTTTTCCACAATTACTATTTATATGGTAAACGGTTAACAAAAAGTACTGAACAATGAAATGCAAAATTTGGTCTGACATCAGGATTGGACTTGAATCGGCCTGCATTCGGGCTTCTTCTTGATGGACAGGTCAATGGTGACAAGAATAGAAATATTACTGATTCAACTTAGCTAAAAATATAGAATTATGTTAGACACATATTTACACTCTCTGACTACATACATGAAATAAAAGTTTAAAATGTTGTTTTTTTAAAAATATATTTTTTTAAATAGTTAATAAAAAATGGAAGCTCAAATGTGTGACCTTCTGAGTTTCTTAATTTTGGGTGAAATATATACACAATACATATTGACGCTATTCACAAATCATATTGCATTTTAGTATTGCAATATATTGTGACATGATATATTGTCACACCCCTAATTAAGAACTTGTAACTAAATGTAGCCTGAAAACAACCAAGCAAATGTATGGTAGTAAAAGGGAACATAGAAATGCATTACAAGCAATAAACAAAAAGTGCTTTCAGTGTCTGGA